CCCCATTACCATGTACCTACAGAGGATTCCAAAAGTTCCACCTCTTGACTTTCCCCATCACAGTTGTGATATATCATGCATTGTCATAAGAAATTAAATGGGAATTTTTTGGGAGTTTTGCAGAAGCTGCAGGTCACATGCGAAGGCCAGCAGACAATACAGAAAAAGTTTAGAAACTCAGAATTGCATAAAATATATGTATAGTATTGTGTGATACCAACATATTTTATCTTTTTAATGCCATAATAATTCAGACTTCTCTGGTAAAAGAGAGGGCCAAAATATTTTATGTGGATTTTCCAGATTGTGAGAGTGCTGTGCTCTAACCCCTACAATGTGGAAGGGCTAACTGTATTTTGTATGTGTGTCTTTCCCAGTAGAATGCAAGCTCCTGTTGGCAGGAAGTGTTTTGCTTTTACTGGGCAGGGAGGTGGTGTCACAGTGGATAGAGCGCTGGGCCTATAGTCAAGAAGACCTGAGTTCAAATCTAGCCTCAGGCACTTACAAGCTGTGTGACAGTAGGCAAGTGCCTTCACTTCTGTTTACGTGTTTCTTCCTCTGTAGAATGAAGATCAAAATAGCACCCACCTCAGAGTTGTAAGGAGATAATATTGTAAAGTGCTTAGCACTTTATCTGACACATAGTAAGTGCTATATAAATGTTAGCTATTATTATTATTATTACCATCTCATAAGTTTGTTGTGAGGATTAAACGAGAAAATGATTATAAAGTACTTAGTACAGTGCCTGGCACAATTATTATTATTATTATTATTATTATTATTGTTACCTATAGTGCCTGGCATATAACTGGCACTTAAATGCTCACTGAGTGATTAATTATCTATCAAGATAATAAATCTGCATGGAAATTCACAAATCTTAGGACTAAAGAATAAATGAGAGAGTTTTTGGGTAAGGAAAAAAGGAATGAGAAACAGGATTGATATTAATGTATTAAAACACTATATATACCTGCTGTTAGGTGGGGAAAATAGAAGATTCTTTTCTAATAAATACAGATAAAAATGTTTCCAGACAGGGAAGACAAAGTGATGATAAGGATTTGAAACCTCTGTGGGTGTAGATGTATGTACATATGTATGCCTATCTCTGCACATATATATAAATATACATAAGCACATACACGTGTGTAAACATATATACACTAAGATACACCGCTAAGATCGTCTGATCAATGACTGATTTGTTTTGCTAGTAAGCTTCTTGCTATACCAAACTTAAAGAAAACTGTCTCAAGGCCAGGAGTCTCTCAAAAATGAAATTCTTAAAATAACAATCACAAAATGATCTAGATTAATAATAGAGGAAGAAACCTTAAAAAAAAATTCCACCAATGTTACAGCGGAATCAGTAGCTTTCCAATGAGCTTGTATGTTAAAAGGATGCAGACAGAAGGAGGAAAGAAGGGCACATTACTGAAGACCAGTAAAAAAAAAGGTGGTACAGACTTGTTGGGAAGCTAGTGTACACAGTGCTGGGCCAGGAGTAAGAAGACTCATTTTCCTGAGTTCAAATCTGACCTCAGACATTTCCTAGCTGTGTGACCCTGGGAAAGTCCCTTAACCCTGTTTGCCTCAGTTTCCTCATCTGTAAAATGAGCTGAAGAAGGAAATGGCAAACCACTCCAGTACCTTTCCCAAGAAAACCCCAAATGGGGTCAGAAAGAATCAGACACGCCTGAAACAACTCCACAACAACAGACTTTGTCAAAGCAGTGTCAGAAAGCCTTAGAGTAAGCTGAGGCTTACCAAAAATGCTAAGTGTGACACAAGCTGACTTAAAAATTCTATTTGGATTAAGAAGAAGAATATGAAAGTGTAAGGCTTTTACTGTAAGGCCAGATGGGATAATATTAGCAGGTGACAGAGAAGAAGCTGAGTCACCAAACGCTAATTTTGTTTCCCTCTTCATCAATGAGAATGGTCTTCAAATGACGGAGGGCATAAAAACACAGTTAAGAGGGGATCGAAGCATCCAGACGCATGGTAAGAGAACATTCCGTGGCTTCACACAGCTGATTCAAGTCTCTGGGCCCAGATGAATCAGTACTGAAAGAACTTGCCCATGAGATGAAGGAAACCCCTGCAGTTAATTTTTGAGATATACAGGAGATACAGGTGACAATAAGGGAAAAGGTGGATCTTGGACACTTTTTCCCTTTTTTCCTTCTTTTTCTTGGGGGACAAATTTTAAAGATTATTAACCAGATAATAATAATGATGAACACAAGCCATAGTGACACAGCACTTTATGCCTCACAATGCCTCACAAGATGTTTTATTCACAGCACACTTTATTTATCATTCCCAACTTAGATGAGAAAACTCATGAGAGTTCAGAGAGTGAATTGCACAGTCATGTAACTAATAAGTGGTGGTTTTTTTGGTTTATTTGTTTTTGTTTTTTAAGGCAATCAGGGTTAAGTAACTTTCTATTAAGTGTCTATGGCTAGATTTGAACTCAGGTCCTCCTGACTCCAGGGCTAACAATCTATCTACTGTGCCAGCTAGCTGCCCCAACTAGTAAGTGTTGTTGGAGACACTTGAACAGAGAACTCCTGTCAGTGGTGATTATTTGCACAAAGTTAATGTACAAACGGGCATACAAACAATGAGCTATGTCAAACTAAGCTCATTTCATTTTCTCAGAGGCTGTTAAAAGGTAGATGAGAAGAGTGCTATAAACGCAGTATATTTTAGCAAATTTTAGCACAGCATTAAACAAAAACCTCTTAATGATATTTTCATGTGGAAGATGGAAAAATGCAGACTAGATAACAGGAGAGTTAGATCTGGTCGGACAAACATACTCAAAGTGCTGGTTATTAGTCTCTAGAATCCTGCCATAAGATCAAGACCCTTTCTTGTTCTGAATCTTTTTTTTTTTAAAAGGCAATTGGGGTTAAGTGACTTCCCCAGGGTCACACAGCTAGTAAGCGTCAAGTGTTTGGTCTGAGGCCAGATTTGAATTCAGGTCTTCCTGACTTCAGGGCTGGTGCTCTATCCACTGCGCCACTTAGCTGCTCCTCTTGTTCTGAATCTTGATCAGGTCAACAAGCATTAATTAAGCACCTATGTGCTAAGTTCTGGAGATACAAAGAAAGTAAAGTTGTCCCTGTGGTCCTTGAGGAATTCACAATCTAACAGGGGAAACAAATACGCAGATTACCACATAAAATGAAATACATTCTAAATAAATAGGAGATAATCTCAGAGGGAAAGTACAAAACGTTAACAACTTGGACAAAGATACAGAAGTCACCCTATCCAAATGTGTAGATGTCACCAAGGTGATAGACAGCAAGTATGGGCTGAAGATTCAAAAATATATGGTAGGAACAAACTAACAGGATGAAGAATAATAGCTATAATATCAATCCATGCACTTACGATAATAATATCTACTGTAAATACAGGATGGGAAAACTGGTTTTGAGAATAGTTCTGGAAAAGACCAAAGGACCTTAGTTGCCTGCAATATGAATCAGCGGTGCAATATCACTGTCAAAACGAGAGAAAATAATTCCACCATATCCTGGACTGATCAGAATACATTTTGAGCAATGAATGTTCTGGGTACCACAGTTTAAGGGGGACAATGAAAATGCTGACAAAGTTGATGAAGGACCTGGACATCATATAAGATGAAGCCCTGAATATTTAACCTGGAAAAAGAAGACTCAGGCAGAGTTACAATAACATCTTTAATACCTAAAAGTTAGCTGTTGGGAAGAGCAAATAAATTTCTTTTGTATTGTTCTATTGGGGTGAAACAAAGACCAAAATGGGTGGAAGTTATAGGGATGCAAATTTGGGCCAGTAAAGGAATTTTTTTTGGTATAAAATGGAATTCTTAGATATTCAGTTCCCTTTTCACTAATTATGTCTGAACAGAAGCTGGATATCATCAAAGGGACTAAAGTACTAGCTGTGAGTTTGGAGCAAATGACCCCAAGATACTATTATTCTCTGTTAACTGTCTAGTGTCTCTACTAAAATCCTGCTAAAATACTTCGCTGTGGTGGCAAAATGATCCTGGCTAAGCTAGCAAAGTGCAATTTCCGACTGTTATTCTAAGACTAGAAATGCTTTGAATATAGGTTCGGAAAACAACAGTGTATCTGCTGTCAGAGGACCAGGCAGGTCAAATCTGGAAAGATGAATGATAATGATAATAACAACATTTGTAAAATATTTTACATATATCATTTGATCCTTACACAATCCTTTGAAATAGGTGCTATTATTATCCTTATTTTACAGCTGGAAAAACAGAGGCCCATGTCATGTGACTTGTACACAGCTCAAATGATTCTGAGGGAGGATCTGAACTCAAAACCTCCTGTCCCAAAGTTCACCATTTTATCCACTAGCACAAAGTGTATGACTGAAACACAGTTAGCGACACTGAATCCAGATTTAGACTTAGCCATTTAACTAGCTGAGGGAGTCATTTCAGCTCTTTGGGGTTCAGTTTCCCCATCTGTAAAATGAGAGGGTTGAATTACTAGGCGGCACTAAAGGTTTCTTCCAGATTTATGGTCTAAGATCCTATAATTTGTGAGGATTAAAAGAAGTAATATTTTTAAAGAGCTTAGCACAGTGAGCTGGCACACGTTAGGTTCTTAAGCAGTTTCCCTGATCTTTTCTTTCCTATCTTCCTTCCCTCCCTCCCTCCCTTTCTTCTTTCCTCTCTCTTTCCCTCTCTCCCTTTTTTTCTCTCTCCTTCTTGCCTTTCTTTCCCCCCCTTCCTTCCTTCCATCCATCATCTATCTACTAAGATCTAGACTAGTAAAGAAAATATTCATACTAAAGGAAACCTCAGATTTTTTCAGTACATGACATAGAAGGGTTGAACTCAAATACATAGGGATTTTTAAAAAATAGATGAATTCTTCCCAACTTTTCCACTCTTTACCACTTGAGACAGAAAACCCAGTGCTAGCACCAAAGAGCCATGCGGGTCCTGCACTTACTTATTGCATGTGCCCCATTCTCTTCCCCATTCACAGTGGCTTCTCCATTCTTTGGTGGGTTTTGCTGAGAGACGGTTGCTGGGGTGGCCGCAGCTGCTGCGGCCGTGGCGGCAGCGGCGGCTGCAGCTGCTGCTGCTGCATTGGCTTGCTGCTGAGCTAATTTTTCTCTGAATGCTTGCTGTCGGGTCTGTACAACATCAGGCATCACGGCATCTATTAGCGATAGGGACTCTATGGGGCGGCCGTCAAAGACTGTACCATCCTGGAAGAGAAAACACCGATGATGGTTATAGGCTCTTTTCTAGAGAGAAAGGCGATTCTTTGAGAAGAGTCAGCACTGAACAATCTCCTGTGGACAGGCTGAGTCAATCCCAGGGTCACAGGAGCGTAGACTGAGGCAGAGAGGCCTCCAAAGGCCATCTTGTGTTACAGACAAAGAAGCCAAGGCATTAGAGGTGAGGTTACTGGCCCATAGTCACCCAGGAGCTAAGTGTCCCAGACAGGATCTTAAGCCAGGTCTTTTAATTCCAGAGCTAGAACTCTTTCTTCAATCAATAAGCATTCATTAGGTACCTACTCTATGTTAGGCACTGGACATATAATTACAGCAAGGAAACTGCCCGTTCCCCCAAGGAGTGACAATATACATATGTACACAAAGCCACTAAATACGCTACTCTTCTTCTTTTTTTTTTTTTTGGTGAGGCAACTGGGGTTAAGTGACTTGTCCAGAGTCACACGGCTGGTGAGTGTTATGTGTCTGAGGCTGTACACTATTATTCTTATTGTTATTATGTATGCATGCTATGACACACACTACATGCATTATTAGGCACGTCATTTGTAGAAGTATTGTCCACACATGCATGTCATTCTACATAGCACATGCATCACTACGCATATAGCAGTATTGTTTACATATGCACATAATCTATATGGTAGGCGTCACAGTACTGCTTATACACGTGCATATAATGTAAAGATTATAATATGTATATCAAGCATGTGGTATAGATGTAATATTATTGTTTATATTGTTTGTTGTACTACATACTACATACATTATTCTGTATCTTGTAGTAGCATTGTCTAGTGTATCTGTACATAACAAGTATATATTATGTGTGCATAATAATGCATGTAGTAGATTACGTGGAGGTATTGCTTATATATGTATGCATATGATGTATATGTTATAACATATACTAATGCATGTAGTATATGCAGTAGTACTGTTTATACGTGTATGCTGTATGACGTAATGCATACCTGTATATATTTATATAAGGATGCATGTAGTAAGTGAGAAGTAGTATTGCATATGTATCATATAATATGTATATGTTTGTACAGAATAATAATGTGCATAGTACGCATGTACTGGTAATTGCTTATATATGCATGTTGCACCACATATAACACATTGTATACTGTACTAATGTAAAATGTATCTTATATACTGCACTATATACATTCTTTAATATAAGCAACACAATATAAAATATAAGCACACATACATTGTATATACATACAAAAAATAAGCACATAAGTATAAGGTAATTTTTTGGGAGAGAAGGCACTGATACCTCAGGGAGTCAGGAAAGATGTCATGTGACAAAATTTTAGAACAATATATAAAATTATATATATAATATGTACACACATAAAATATATAAATGTCTCTCTATATAATATATAAAATTAGGTCACTGATTCTTTTGGTATGAAAATAGTATCCTGATGTATCTTAAAGAAAAAAATTAAAGGGGGAGCAAAACAAATGAAACCTTTGAGACAGTAGCAAAAGGTAAAGGCAGAGTTAATTTTTAAAAAGAAAAAAAATAGCTTTTCTTAAGATTGAAAAATTTTAAAAAGCAAAAACGTGCCTATTCAGCAATATCACGGAGAATTGGGAATATCCTGAAATGCTGTGCTTGATATCACAATTCTCATTCTGGCATTCGAGGTCCTTTACAATTTGGTTCTAATCTACCTTTTTAGTTTTGTCCTTTCAGCCCAAATGGTCTACCTATTGTTCCCATTCTTCATCTGCCTTTGCTACTGCTATTTCTCCAAGTCTGGTGGGTAGCTAGGTAACACAGTGGATAAAACACTGGGCCTAGAGTCAGAAGGACCTGAGTTCAAATCCTGCCTTAGATATTTCCTAGCTCTGTGACCCTGGGCAAGTCATTTGATCTGTTTGGCTCAGTTTCTTTATCTGTACAATGGGGATAATAACTGCTCACCTCCCAGTGCTGTTGTGAGGACAAAATAATAACTGTAAAGTGCCAAGTATAGCATGTAGTAAGCACTATATACATGTTAACTATTGTTATTATTATTGTTATTCCCCCAAGACCCAACTTAGGTTTCAGCTCCTCCAACACAAAACCTTCCCTCATCCTCCATGTGGAAATGATCTTCTCCTCCTCAAATGTCTTCCAGCATTTTGTCTGGATTACTCCTTTGTACCATCACATTCTATTGTGCATTATAGTTATTACTGTACAAGTCTTATCCCTTCAATTGATTTGAGGACCATATCTTATTTCATCTTTGGACCTGTCACTTCACTGGTATGGAAACTCCGTTCACTAATGGCAACAGGTAGTTCATCTGTAATTTAATCAATTTAGTAAATACTTATTAAGCACCTAGTATGTGCCAAGAACTGTGATACATACTAGGGATACAATGACAAAAATGGAAATAGTTCCTCCCTCAATTCAAGGGATAACAAAAGGCTTCATAGGAGGTGGCCCTCAAACTAAGCTCTGACTAGGGCTGTAGAAGCAGAGGCCAGGAGGAAGAACATTCCAGGCATGGGGGGTATGGAGCCTGGAGAAGAAATGTCACCTACAAGGAATGGCATGCAGGTCAATTTGACTGGATGAGAGAGTGAGCGCGGAGAAGCAAGAGCACATAAGTCTAGAAAGACATGTGGAAGTCAAACTGTGAAGGTCATTAAATGCCAAAGAGGAGTTATCCTATGGGCAAGAGGGAGCTACAGAAGCTTCGTGAGCAGCGGAGTTTCATGGTTAGACTTGGGCTTTAGGAATATCAGTTGTGCAGCTGTGTGGAGGACAGACTGAAGAAAGAAAGACATAAGGCAAAGAAATCATTTAAGAGGCTACTGAAGCAGTCCAGATAAGAGGTACTGAGAATCTAAACTGTGGGTGTGACTTTGGCAGTGGAGAGAACATGGCAGCTTGGAGAGATGCTAGTAAAAAGCACCGATTTTCTAGCTGACTGGCTACAGGGCATGAGAGAAAGGAGTCAAAGATGAACAATGATAACAGTGAACATTCATCTCATTTCATCTTGATGACAACCCTAGGAGATATGTGCTATTATTATCCCCATTTTACCAATGACGGAACTGAGGCAGACAGAGGAAAAGTGACTTGTCTAGGGTCACACAATAAGTGTCTGAGACCGAATTTGAAGACATCTTCCCAACTCCAGGTCCAGTGGTCTATCCGCTGGGCCACCTTGTCAACCCAAGTAAAAGCAAGTCTGCATACTCAACACAGATAAGGAGGCTCAGAAGTGGGGCAAGTTTGAGGACGAGTTGGGAAAGAATGACTTCTCTCTTGGACATGATGAGTTGGAGAGATCTGTCCAACTTCCAGTTTGAAATATTTAGTAGGTGGCTGGTGATGGGAGGACTGGAATCGAGAAGAATAATTAAAGATGGATGTATGGGTCAGGGAGTCTGCACAGATACAGCAATTATGAAACCCACAGAAGCTGATGTGGCCATTGAGTGAAAGACCATGGGGGGAGCTCATGACTCAGAACAGAGTGTTGGGGCATACCCACAGTTACAGGTGTGAGAAGATTCACAATCTAGCAAAAAAGATTAAGAAGCAATGTCAGGGGGCAGCTAGGCAGTGCAGTGGATAGAGCACCGGCCCTGTAGTTAGAAGGATCTGAGTTCAAATCTGACCCACTTACTAACTGACCCTGGGGCAAGTCACTTAACCCCCACTGCCTAGCCACCCCCCCTCCCCCCACCAAAAAAAAGTAGTGCCAGTCAAGTAGGAGGAAGACCAACCAAAAAAGCAGTGCCATGAAAACAGAGAAATGCTTTGCAAGAAGAGAGGATGCCTCATGATGTCAAACAGCAGAGAGGTCAAGAAATATGAGGATTTGAAAAAAGGGCACTGGATTGAGTAAATAAGAGATTTTTGGTTGATGACGCTAAGAGCATCTGGAGATTATATTACTTGCTCATGGTCCCAGAGCTAGGTGTTTCAGAGGCAGGACTGGAACCTATTTCTGACTTGAAGACTTGCCCCCTATGTCCTATGCCGTGTTATTTCTCACACAGTAAGACCTACTACCTAGAAGGTATTTAACAAATGTTTGATAAATTGACTCATAAGTACTCTCACTTATATACTAAGGAAATTCAGAAACTAGTGCACATTTTTGTACTAAAATCGATATTATTTTTGGAGCTTAGGAAATCTTTATGAATAACCCGCCTTTACATGTGCTAAAATTAGCTCTTTTAAAGTTTCAAGTCCAAGTCATGGGTGTCTTCAAGAGTTAATTTACCCTGCATGAATCCAGACCTGACTTCTATGGAATCTGTTCATTTCATATATTAAAATAAATTATTTACCAACCTTGGATTAAGATTTTATTTGAGGTGAATGTGAAATCCATTCTTGGGTTTAGACCTTGACCAAATATTGATTCCATTAACTGAACAATTACAGAAATATTTAAATTTCCTATCTGGATGAGCTCCTCCTCCCAGCTGGACTCCTAGCTCGTATCTACATCAATTTAAGATTCTGATTTTGAGAGCCCTGCACAGTTCTCCACACACAGCAGAAAATTCCTTTTAGTCTAAGCACATTCACACACTATAACCATATGAAATCTGAACCTGCAGAGCTGGCCCTGACTTGATGTATAAATGCATTAGAAAGTACATTTTGCACATGTTTTCGCTGTGACATTTTCAGCAATGAACTGACTAAATTCAGTCAGCAGTATTACAAAAACCTAAGTTACTTTTGAATACAAGCAGTAACTAAAGAAAAAAGAATATGTACTTGTTTGACCCTGGCAACAATTATATTAGAAACCATAACTGCCTAAATTAATTATTAAAACCCCTCTCACTTAAACATTTTAAAACTCTGTCTCTTTTTTTTCCTTTAACTTCTAAAGACATCAGTGATAAATGGGGAGTTATTTCATTTCACCTCTCATTATATTATCACTGTCTACATGATCTTGGGTGAGTTAAACCTGTGAAGGGGGTTCCCGGGAGGAGATGGTGTGGGAGAATCAGTGGACAAGAGATCAAATCCCGTCTTTAATGCTTACTACCTGTGTGACCAGACAAGTCACAATCTTGCTAAGTTTCGATTTCTGCGTCTGTAAGAGGAGGTGGGAGGGAGGGAGTTTAACGCCTCTGAGGACCTTTTTATTTTATTTATTTTTACAATCTATAAATTGATGATCTCTTGGGCTCCATTCTACATCCCATGACCTATTGTGGAAGAGTAGGAAAGGCTTCCTGAGATATGGGATAGAATAGAAACATATTGAGCAAGCACTTAAATGAACAGTGGGAAGAGAGGAAAACAGGCAGTTGAGAGAGCATGGAGAAGACATAAGAAGCACCCTTGGATAAAGAAAGACAAAAGAGGAGGGAGTTATTGGGGAGAAGAGATATAGCCTAATTTAGAAGAGGTATTATGGGGAAAGAGAAATGGGCAAAAGACTTCACACAATTTAAAAAAAAGGGATTTGGGGGAGATTAAAGATCCAAGAAAAAGAAATTTCCTAAGTGGAAAGGACAGGGGAAATATGCAATTGAAAACAAGAGTAGGAGAACTTGAAAGACGTTAGGATCAGAATGCCAAGCATGCCTGTCCTGTCAATGCATCTGAACGCAGCACTCCTGAAACAAACAACAGAAGCTGCCATAATTGGGATTGTGCTAAAAGAAGCCTACGATGAGGAAATAGCAAAGATGGGATGATTATTTTTAGGCAAACTGTCCTACTCCTGAGTCTGGAGGGAAATGGAGGATGAGGAGATTTGTAACAAGACTGATTACTTAGCAGCCTTGGGAGGGAGGTCTGTTCAAATATTTTGGAGTACACGGCACCCGTGTGAACACCACCATACTTCAGGCTTCAGAAAAAGTGGATGAGTGATTGGTTCTACCAGCTGTGCAAACTGGATTAGAGCGAAGGTTATGAGGAAATTTTTAAGCGTTCAAGGCGGTGATTCTGTCTCTGTGGGATGAGGGTGGTGGGTGGGGAACAAATACAGAATCATTACAAGGGTTCCTCCAATCTATATGCACACCAAGGATGGTCATTTCATTCTTTACTGGCTTCTAACAAAATAATTTCACTAAATAAGGAAACATAACCTTGCTATACTGATACCTGATGTTGGTATTTTTATCTGAAATTATATACAGATGTTGCTATGATTAATAAAATACAAACTCATCTAAAATATTACTGAATATATGGTAGCTGTTTGTAAATATGCTTTCTGCTGCATAGGATAGAGTGCTGGGCTTGGAGTCAATAAGAGCTGGGTTCCAATTCTGCCTCTGATACTAGCTGTATGATCTAAGGGTAAGTCACTTAATTTCTCTCTATGTGACTCAGACAACTTTCTAGGATCTATTACCTAAGTCTTGCAGTTTGCATCTGGATTTGAGTAGGAAGGTCTCCCTGCTGAAATTACAGAATCTTTGTGTACTTGCAATATTTTTTTTCTCTTTTAACTTTCATTTTTAAAATTGAGTTCCAAATTTTCTCCACCCCTCCCCTACCCATTGAGAAATCAAGCAATAATTTGTATTATTTTCTTAACCAAATGGATACCAATGATTCTACAATTACGCTCAGGTTGGTATCTATGAAGTTATTTAACATAAAAAGGGATTCTTGTAGTTAAAAAATTTGGGAATAATTGGTATCTGCAGGGAAGACAAGGATGCTACAAAGTAACAGTGAGTGTAACAGGTGAAGGTATATGTATGCAGCTGAGAAACACAATTCTGTTGAAACTCTGGAAGGCCATGAAGAAGCTATTCAAATGAAAAACACATCTCAGAAACCTAAAATGAAGGAAGGACCACAGGAAAAAAAATGGGAGGAAAATGGATAAAAGTGAAGGGTCCGCCACAAAGGAAATTATGTCAGAAGAGTTTGTTGAAGCCAAAGTAGCTTATAAAAGAATTGTTCTTTCATTTAATATTTTTAAATCATGGAGGAAAGAGGAGGGGGATTAGGTGGGAGGAAAGAATTAAGTTATTTCAGGTTTTTGTTTAAAACCATGCTTTACAGTTCTTTTTGTGGTGACAAAGAATTGGATATAGAGGGGATGTCCAACAATTGGGGAATGGCTGAACAAGTTGTGCTATATGAATGTAATGGAATACTACTGTGCTATAAGAAATAATGAGCAGGCAGATTTCAGAAAAACCTGGAAAGACTTGAATGAACTGATGCTGAGTGAAACGAGCAGAACCAGGAGAACACTGTACACAGTAACAGCCACAATGTGCCATGACTAACTTTGATAGGCTCTTCTTAGCAATGCAAGGATCCAAGACAACTCCAAATGACTCATGATGGAAAATGCTGTCCACATCCAGAAAAAAAACTATGGAGTCTGAATGCAGATCAAAGAATATTATTTACTTTCTTTTTCTACTTTTTTGTTTGTTTCTTCTTTTTCATAGTTTCTCCCATTGGTTCTAATTCTTCTTAATAACATGACTAACACGAAAATAGGTTCAGTATGAATGTATATGTAGAGACTATATCAAATTGCATGCCATCTTGGGGGGGTGGGGGGGAGGGCAGAGATGGGGAGAAAATTTGGAACTCAAAATCTTATGGAAGTGAATGCTGAAAACTAACTAACTAAATAATATATATAAAACCATGCTTTAGTTTTCTGCTCCAATTCCACTCTTTTAAGGAAGAAATAATAATAAAATAATGCTGGAAAATTACTGTAAACCTTGAGATCACAACCTCTTCTTTATTCTGTTTAATTCAGGTAAAGCAGTACCATCTGTCTTTCCTGTGTGGTCACTTTTTTACCCACCTGCTTGCAGAGTAAAAAGAAGAGAGACAAGACACCCTGTGAAGTGTGCTCACCAAATTAGCATAACACCAAAATATTAAGTCGATGAAAAGGGGCTGTGTACTTTTTTATGATTTGAAAATGTGTTGTTTACATACTAAACATGATCGCTATTCTATATATACAGAAAACACAGATGTGTAAAGAGCACAGAAAGCTTGCTGCTATTTTTACTTCTAGGTAACCAGAAGTCCCAAATTTATGAAGCAAATTAAAAGCAAAGGTGAAACACTTAAAATTTCTGTCAAGTACCTTTCTGGAAATAAGTATTTAATTAATACTTGTTTTCTGAGACATTAGAAGTTTTCAAACATATCTCCCCAAACATGGGATTGTTCTGGCTGGCTTCTAACTAAAGCACACCTGTAACTGCCCAAATGTATGTTCTGCTTGTGGCAACAAAGGGACTTACTTCATTGATGCTGATCTCAGCTTCCACATACTGCAGGCCTTTCTGAAGAATGGAGATGAGGGCAGCAGGTGGCACTAGTGTTCCATTGATATTGGATTGACTGATGTGACTTTCAATACCAAATGTGAAGGCCGAATGGGAAAAACCTAAAAGCAGGAAAACAAGCCATGACATGAAAACCAAGTTCATTGACAGTTGCACATCCGTTTATTTCTAAAACTCCAACGTGTAGAAATTAACTCAGAATCCAGCAGTACTGGCTTTGGGTCATGTAGGTGAAGAAATAGCTGGGGGGGTGGGGAGGGGGAAAGAGGAGAGTAGGGAAGATGGGAGCTTTTTTTGGAAAATGAAAAACTGGGCTGTGAGAAGGAAAACACATTTAGGAATAAAACAATCAGTTTCTATACATATATATATATATGTGTATATGTGTATATACATATATATATATACACACACACACACATACATATATATATATATATATATGTATGAAAATAATTAAAAATCCAAAAAGAATAGGGAATATATTCTGACTGAATCTCGCTCCGATAAACATTTGACTCAAATCTCTTTTCTCCCTTGATTAGTATCAATCTTTCCAGAAGCTCAACCCTGGGATCTCTTTTTTTGCACAGGTTGTATATGGCCCCAGTCCTGCTAGGGTTCACACAAGGGAGCCATTCTTTAACAGAAGATAAGGAAAGGAAAATCCTCAGCTCAGAGCTACCCCTGGACACGTAGAACAAATTAATTTTATGATGAGGCAACAGGAAAAGATGATACTCTCATCTGGATCTCTTTTCTGGAGTTAAGCATTTTTGTCAATAGAAATAAATAAGGAATTCTCCCTATTGCTGATATTAGCTGCCAGTTAACTGTGGGCTTTTCTCCATCATCCTTTCCTTGTTTCTTGAATTGTCACCTTCTTAGCAAGCTGGGGGTGATAAAACTCTAGCAACTTAAAAGTTTATCCTAGAATTAAGCCCTTTTTTTGGGGGGGGGAGCTTGGATTTAAACACGGTAGAACTATGATGGTGTTTAAAGAAAAGAAGCTTGAGTAGTGTTGTGTGTGTGTGTTTAAGTGGATGGCAAAAAACCCTCAATAACAATAATAATAGCTAACATTTACATAGTGCTTACTATGTTCGAGGCACTGTACTAAGCACTTTACAATTATTATTTAATTTGATCCTCACAAAAACCCTGGGAGGGGAGGTTCTATTATTACCCCCATTTTACAGATGAGGAAACTGAGACAAATAGAGGTTTAGTGACTTGCTCAGTATCACACACCCAGTGTTTGTGGCTGGATTTGAACTCAGATCTTCCTGACCCCAGGCCCAGCACTCTACTCATTGCATCACCCAGCTACATAAATGGTCAGGGTTGGATTTGTTAGGTGGTATACTAGGTAGCAGCTATTATGACCTCTAAAGATAATCTCTGCTTTCCCCCCTTTTACCCCCAAATCTTTCCCACTTAAGTGTCACAGTGTCTTAAATTCTCCCATTAGAGAGATGGCTTCATGAGACATCCTCTTTTTTAAATGTAAATAGCCCTTCATGGGATAACAAATTGTTTTTGGTTTAAAGGTAAACTAGTTTATTAGGTCATTTCCCTCTGGATCAGGGGGCCAGCATAAAAGTCATCCATGCATCCCTGAGTGCCAATCCAAAGCCTAGAGGGCAGTTCCCACAACTTTCCTCATATATATATATATATATATATATATATATATATATATATATATATATATATATATATATAAAATCTTAATGAACTTTTATTTAACATATAAATCCTTGGTTGAGGTGGAGATGTGATTAAAGCTTTTGATGAGGAATTATTTTTCCAATGAGTTAACGCTGAAAATGAATGTCAATCCATTCCATCTACAGTGAGTGACAAAGAAGGCAGTGCTTTAAAATATATTCTAACTAGATTCACCCCATTACCATAAAGCAAGTTTAGAATGTATTAATTACATTAGGACAAATTTGTAGAATTCTCTATAGGTCATCCAGGTTTAAAATCTCTCTCTCTTTGTTTTCTATCTTCCCAACAGCTCCCCCTCCCAATTAGACATCAGTCTGCTTAAGTATTCCTTTGTTGTGCTCAGCACCCTTCCTCCACCCATCAACTTCCAAGTCTTCTCTAAGGTCACTCAGTCACTATCCTAGCTCAGGGACTTTATCACTTAAAGGCTGAATTACTGAAACAGACTCCTAAGGCCACCCTGACACCAGTCTCTTCCATCTCCAATCCAAGCTATGCATTACCACCAAGCTGAGTCTGTTCCCACCCCTCCATGATCCCCATCCGCGAGACATTTTGTTATTTTTGTTATTTGGTCATGTCTAACTCTTAGTGACCCCATTTGGAGTTTTTTTGGCAAAGATATTGGAGTGGTTTGCCATTTCCTTCTTCGGCTCATTTGATAGATGAGGGAACTGAGGCAAACAAGGTTTTAAGTGATTGCCCAGGGTCACACAACTAGCTAGTAAGTGTCTTGAGGCCAGAATTGAACTCAGGAAGATGAATCTTCTTGACTCCAGATCCAGCACCCTATCCACTGTGCCACCTAGCTGTCCTTTTATCATCTGTATCACTTAGCATAGTGCCTGTTATGGTAAATGATGGTAGGCTGACTTATGACATGGATAGAATTTGAAAGAGTTCAAATTTCAGAGCCCCAGTTTCTTCATTTGTAAAATGGGCAATTTAGGTTGAATTCAGATCATTGCTCAGTTTAATTTGGTTATGGGGAAATTACCAAGAGGTGATTTAAAAAAAGCCATATGGTTTTAAAAGTCCTTAGTGGCAATAAATGAAAAGATTATAAGACAGACATATTACTACATGAAAATCCATCTTTTATTTCTGCTTTTGCTAAGCCTTCCTATGCTCTTGTTTTTCTCTTGTAACCATTCTTGATTTTTTTCTATCTCCCCCATTGTTTCAACTTTTTTTCACCACAATACAAAATTAAAGCTTTATCAATATTTGTTGCTATATTTAAGTTAAATGCTTCCTATTTTAATTTGAAAAATAAATGACTCGAAAATTTTGTTTCTTAAAAAAATCTTAAAAATAATTACTCCTTAAAAATAAACTTATGAGACTCACAAAAATTTATTTTCTTTTCCAGGAATTAGGTGGCTCTTAGTTTAAAAAAAGGGATGGGGGCCTACCATCACATATATGATGAAACCAAAGCCTTTCAGTCCTTAAAATTTCTCAGCTCCATCACTCTTTCCTTCCTTCCTCCTATCTCAGAGGAAAAAAGTATCCCCATTCCCGGTTTAGTCTAATCCCTGTTACTTATAATTTTTATCACATCCCCTATACCTCTTTTTTGACATTATTTGGTCCTTCTTTCATGAATCTCCAATCTCTTCCTCTGTATGACCTGCTTTTCTTCCTACTTGATGTCTTTACCTACTCTCCACATATTCCTAAATTCTTGGTAGTCTGGCTTCCATCACTGCTATTCTCCTTAAAGAACTCTCTCTTAATGGTCACCCAAAGGCCTACTAATTGCCACATACAATTTCTATTTTAAATTCCTTGGCCAAATGTCCTCTCTGTAACATCTGATGGTGGTGAAACCCCTTCCTTCTGTATGTCCTCTATTCATGTGGCATCACTGCCTCTAATTTCTTCTCTGTCCTTAGCCTTTCTCCAAACTCAAGGTACGGATTATCCAAGTTTTAAAATTTGGCGCTTTTTCTCTTCTCTTTCTAAAGTTTTTCCTTTAGTCATTTCATTCATTGCTATGCTTTCACGTATCTCTGATGTGTAGATGCCTTTTTTAATTTAATTTATGGAATAAAACAAGCAATTCCACAACACAGTATAATAAAATGCCTTCTAAATCTCTCTCCAGCCCTGACCTTCTTTTGAGTTCCAGACCTGCATCTTTAGCTGCCTGCAGCTTCATCTCACCTAAAAAATGGGTTTCAATAGACATAACTTTTTGACATTATCACCATTAAGCCTTATCCATATTATGCTATTAGTCTGCCTATCTTCTCTTTTTAACAAGACTAAATTAAAGAGTACCAATAGATATGACATTTTTCTAGAAATGGCCTAAAAAAGCTCCTATATTCAAGGAGCTTATCACTTAGGAAAGAGGACATAGATTCATGATACAATTCCCAGACTCAGCATTACTCTGGGTAGATAGATGTCATGATTAAGAACATGTTACAAGAATGTAATGGATCAGAGATCAGCTTTCCACTAATTGCATGACCTCTATCAGTAACTACTGTTAAATGAAGTTTGTGTTCCTGAGCCAACCATTCAAATAGATTGGAATGAGATTAAAATTCATATTAAGAATTTGTTTAATTGAATATCTCTAGATGTTTTTAACTTTTTTTTTTTAATTAGAGGCAACTACATGGTCCAGTGGAGAGAGCATTCTAAATTTGGAATCAGGAAGTCCTGAGTTCAAATGTTCAGATATTTATTATCTATGTGACCTTGGGCAAGTCATTTAACTTCTAGAGATTCAGTTTCCTCATATGTAGATTAGGGAAAATAATAACATCTACTCATGTTGTAAACATCAAATGAAATAATCCATGTAAAGTGCTCTGAAACCTTAAAGTGTCATATAAATGTTCATTACTATTATTAATTTTTCTTGCTTCTATATTCTTAAGATAAGGATAAATTAAACCATTAAACTGAATAAATTAAACTACTCCTACAAGGATTTTGGCAGGAGGCGGCAGTAAAGTTAAAACCTAAGTTACCTTGAACAGCAAAACCCATGACCAGAATCAATGGGAGTTATAAAAAGTATCTCTGAATATATCATTCCCCTTGGGAGTGGAAAAAACCCAACTGGCAGCTTTCCCTAATTGTCCTATCTCTGAATCACCAAGCAGGATTTTTTTTTTTTGCCAAGAAATCTAAAGAGCTCATTTTCTGATTCATTTATTCACAAATATTAACTGAGCTCCTACTATGTTCACAGAACTATTCAGGAAGCTATAGAATACATAGAGTGGACCATATAATAAGCCTTGCCCCTAAAGAACTTAAAATCTCAAGGCAAGACCTGTACATAGAAAAGGTAAGAAATATTTCAAAACTATATGCATTAAGTACAGTTGAGTATTATATACCA